TGGTAAGATCTGAGCATCGTGCCATTCCCCAGGCACTTGGGCATTTCCAGCCAGTTTGTTAGACCAGCATCTGAAAGCATGTAGAGGGAAAAAGTCACTTGTTTTGCTCTTTGATCCCAATTCGTCTGCCCTGCTACAAGTTAGCCCATTTTGTGAGATGCTCAGCTAAGAACGTCGGGTTTTGCTTTTGTTTGGAAGGGAAAAGTGGGTTTCACCCCACTCCTGCCATTCCTCACCAGCTCCTGATTTCCTTCTTCTAGGATATTTCCTGATCCATGTGGCTGAGGCCAACAACTCCATGCTGAGGAATGAAATAATTTATTAAGTAACAGTTCTCCTTGCAAAAGACAGCATCAGAGGAGCAACAATTGGTTATCAACCCTAACTATAGCAAAGCAGCCACACTGATGTGAAAGTGAGAGGTGTGGTTTGCTGTCAGCAATATGCCTTGAAGGGTGGCAACATCACTTCCATAAAAGTGCCTTGTCCTCTTCTGATGATTTCTATTCCCCATGTGCTGATGTCGGTGGTTTCATGCTTGAGGTTATCATTTCCTAGAAGTGAGCTGAGCAAGCCTATTTCTATGGGCTGTCACTGGGAGCAGGAATGGACCTGACTAGGAGATGAGGTTTGCTGCAGAGTACACAGAAGAGGGATGGGAGCCTGACGAGCTTCCCAAAGCTGAGCTTTAATGCTAGCACAGCACATCTGTTTTACAGGACAGGTGCTTTGAGTTAATTCTGTACAGGCTGCTGTCAGGGATGCTTCAAGTCTGTGTATATAGCTGCTCACATGTCTGCTCTTTGCATTCATTGAGTAAGGGGCATAGGGTGTTTACAGGTTAATGGATTTTCAAGCTGAAGTGTTTGCTGATAACATTCAGGGCATGGAAATTTGGTCCAGAAACCTTATCAGAGACAAACCATCTTGTGGTGTCCTTCTGTGGAAGATCAAGTATTAGCTCTTTAATTTGTTTACAGTGGTAGACCTACAGTAACATATTAATGTGCATGCAACTAATTGGGATGTGCCCCAATGCAAGGACAACGCTGAATAATAAACCTCTTCAGGAATGTCCTTCTGAATGATCTGCTGGCTACCTGCATAGTTCAATGTCTGAAATTACAACCACCCTGAACCCCACCTAACCCCCGAGGTTCTGTGGCACAAAGAGGAGGTAAGGACAGGCTAAAGACCACCTAGCCTGGCTGGATGGGTTGTGGGCATCCACCTGGGCAGAGGGGATCAAAGCAGCACATACAGTGACTGCCTTGCCCAGCGTATTACTGCGCTCTGAGGGTGGCCTGAGGTTGGCCTGCTGAGCCAACCCTGAGCATTCCACTGTGCTGCAGAGGCCAAGCTGGGATTAATTCACCTCAAAGAGCAGGTTGAAACTGTTAAAATACTTTGCAGGTGGTTCCTTGAACTCATGGTGCAGCTGGATCCAGCCTAAAGGGCAGTAAAAAAAAAAAAAAAAAAGGGGGGTGGGGTGGGGAGAGAAGAAGCAAGTTCTGATGAAATACAAATTAAAATAACTCATGGAAGGGAAAAAAAAATCTGTTTTCAATCTCTACAACAAAGCCAAGCAACGCATCAAGTTGGAAAGGAGAGATGTCAGCCAGGCAGCGCTGGGGATTTTATTGCTTTAACACAAGTGCTCCTCCGTGGCCCTAGGTGCTGCCCCAGCAGCTGGGAGGTGGCACACAGGGATACGAGGTCTCCAAGGGCCTCATGTTTGTGGGCAACACCAGGGATGAGAAGGGACATGAAGTGGGGGTAAATCAGTCCCCAGGCAAAGGTGGATTTTGCTCCCATGTGGGTCCAAGCTGCAGCTTTGTTTCCATGCCCCAACACAAATAAGGCCTCCAGGTTTTGCATGTTGGTCTCAAACTCTCTTTTGTGTGGAAATTCTCCAGGCACTACAGCATTCCTTGCCACTAGAGCTGAATCCACTGGTGGGTTTGTTGTTTCGGTTTTTTTTTCTCCTTCATGGTTGGGCAGTCAGTGTGATGCTAGGGGGGCTCCAGCAGGCAGTGAGTGGAGGAACATGCCAGACCTTACCTCTCCAAGAGCTGCCAGTGTGCAGATCTCTCACAGCATGCCTTGGGATCCCTTGAATTCAGTGGTGCTCCCTAGATGTGCATGTGCACTGAAGATGTTGGTCTTCCTGTGGAGAGAACAATGCAAAACCAAAGCTGTCCCAAGCTGATCATGAGGATATTTCACTCCACGAGTTCTTGTGCTCAGCAATAAAAGGTCAGGCGAAGGAGAACAAAAGGGAGATGGTGGTTGTAGCATTTGTTCTCCCAAACAACTATCACGCGTGCTGATGTCCTGCCTTCCAGGAAGTGGCTGTGTATCTGCATGCTGATGGGAAGTAGAGAATTAATTAATTCCTCTTTCTGCCTTGCTTGCACACACAGCTTTTGCTTTTCCCACCAAACTGTCATCATGTCAGGATCCTTCCTTCTTGCTTTCTTTCTCTTTTCTCCCATTCCATGAGAGAAAAGTGTGAGCAAGTGGCTGGGCAGGCATTTGACTGGTAGCCATGGCCAACTCACCACCGCGCTGGCTGGGATGTCAAAATTCGCCAACCTAATTCAGTCTGAAAAGAGGAAAAGATTGAAAAATCATGTGAGACAGGGCAAATTAAATAAGCAAGTTTATGAGCAAACCTACTGCAACAGAAGCCACCTCTGATCACTGATGGCTTTGTGGTGTGCATGTGCCAGATGTTTCATGTCAAACTGCGTCTGTGTTTCTGTGGGAGAGCAGTGTGGTCTGTGGACAGGATTACTATGTTTTTGGAGCCTTTCTGCAGAAACATGAATACAAGTGTTGGGATGTGGAGTAACCATCAGCTTCCTTGGGTGTCACTCTCATTTCAATCCAGAGGCAACTGCCAAAATGGTGGAGGTTGCTGCCTTGGTTTTCCCAATGCAGAGCCTGTTTATGGCCCCACCTTTTCTTTTCCTCGTACTTGGAGGATCACCAAAACCCCCTGAATTCTGCCTATTTATGCCTAAGACAGTTTGGAATCCACTAGATGAGTCTGGAAACTCTTCTATGCTGAAAGATAGAAACATCTCTGAGCTAGAATATCATCTTCTTGGGGGGGAGAGGAGGGAACCAGAATGACTTGAAGTCACAGACTGAGTTATTTAGGATAAATTCTTGCTCTTCATCATCAATTACCAATGGGCCCACGACATTGATGCAGATATAGTCCATCCATAAAACTCAGTCCAGATACAGTGCACCTCTGCAATGAGGGCTCGATGAGCATCTTCATCTGAGCACATACTACTAGCAGCACAGCATGGGAAGGGCCAGGGTGAACTACAGAATTGCAGGCCTTTCCCTAAGACGTTGGCAGAGCCTTTCAGAAGGGGCAGAAAGAGCATCAGGATGAGGAGGTTGATGCAGGCATGGCTCATAATGTGCTGGAAAGTGCTGTTCTGTTATTAATCCTGCTTCAGTAAGTCCTTAACCCGCGACAACTATACTGAGTCAGCAGTTTCTTTTACTTTTGTTCGTTCTTTCCTGAATTAGTAACGTCAGTTGCACAATCAAAGTCAGTCTTTCTCTGCAGCCAGTGATGGTGCAACAAGAAACAAAAGATAGCAGAAGGTAAGAGGTGGCAGAGGCCAAGTGAATGCATGATCTTTGATGCCAAGGGTATGGCCAAGACACTCTCTACCATGCATGGGCAACTAAGGATGGTAGGCAGAACTGGGTGGGAATGTGGTTTTGCTGTTGACTTTACTGAAATAGCAAAGTGGAGAACTGGACATTGAATCAGGGCACGTTAAGACTGCCAAAATGTGTTCCCCTAATCTAACATCTGTGTCATGCCACTGAGAATGGTTCAGCCACAACACAGCTATGAGAGGTGGGAAGATATATGCCTGATCATGGCCCAGCAATAGTAGTGACTTCAGGCTGTTTCAGCCACCCTAACTCATGGGAGTAGCTTAGCCCTTCACCATGAAGCAAACACCCCAGTTCCTGTGCAGCATGTAGCAGAATGTTACTGTAGGGGAGATCTTCTCTTCCTCCTTCTTGGTGCCAACCCAGGTCATAACTGAGTGCTTGAAAGGAGAACGCAGAAGTGAATTTCAAAATCCCCACTTATTTTTGGTTTAAGTCTTTTAGAGTGCTATGTTCCAAGTGCAGAAGCAAGGATCTCTCTGCACTGGGCTGTCTGGCTGTGGATTTCCAGCTCCGCTCCACACAAAGCTGAGGTTGCTCTTTCTCCCATGGCCACACAAAGTGGCAAGGTCTCAGCAGTCACACAGCTGAGCGAGGACCCGCAGCCAGGGGCAGGGCCTGGTGACAGTGGCTCATCCACAACTCAGAGGGGACAGCAGGCAGTGCAGAGCGGGTGCCCTGCCCATTACCTACTGATAGCTCTTGCTTGCTGGTTTGGGTGAGTCACTTTCCTCCACACAACGTAAACCGGTCCTGGCGCAGATTTCGGAGATGGTGAAATGTAGGAGTGATATGTATAGGGTGTGAGAGAAGCAGCGGTCAGGTGGAGGGAACTGTGTCCATGAGTTGAGGAACTGGTTCAAAGAGACCTCGGCAAGAAGCTGTGTTCCGCAGTGACCGATTCAGGTGTCAGCACCACCCATCCACCGCCACCTGTCTTAGCAGCTCCTCCTGATTCTTCATCTCCTCTTTCAGTCATGCACTATCATTTTGCTGTACGTTCATGTGGGTTTAATCACCATGAAGTGCTTCACCTCATCTTACAGAGGACAGATCCTGAAAGTAACGCTGAACTAGGGATTTCCTTTCCTTAGGAAGGAGGCTTACTTGCACTAGAAATCACCTTGTGCCCAACCCTGAAGTGCAGAGATACTGAATCACTTGTTGCTGAGCTTCTTTCATAACCACAGCCCTGTGGATGTGGTAGCTCCGAGCAAGCACATGAGAGCAGCTGAACATCTTAGCTTGTGGGATTTTTTTGAGGAACCATTCAAATTACCACATCAGAGTTCTCACAAGTCTATAAAAACTAAGCAGATAGGAAAAACCTATCAGAAAGCGTATCAAAGCAGGAGGCAGATAAAGTTCCTTCAGCTCCCCATTGCCCTCCATCTGAAGAGGCTCTGTGTTAGCCACATTTGTCATGAAAATTAAAGACAGATGCAGAGGAGATGGAAATTCAAGTGATATGAGCACCTTCAGTATTTCAGACAAGACTGGGTTTGCCTCAGCTGCTACTACAACCTTTCAGATAAGTGGTAAGGTTTCTTTTTATTAAATGGATTGATGTGGATTTTATTGGGTCTATGAAGAAAACCGCATAAAAATGAAATATTGTATTTGTATTGAAAATGAAATGCTTTTTTAACAGAGATTTTGCTATTAACTGACCATTTAAAAAGAGTTTAATTGTTCTTTCCAAATAAGGTTGATGTTGAGCATCTGAAAATAGTTCTCCTTCCCTGCTTCAAAAAATGCCTAATTGCACTCAGACAATTTCATGTCCTAATAGTTAAGATACTGAAATCACCAGATCCAATTAAAAAAAAAAGTTTCTCAATTTTTAGCTGAATATAAATATTTTATTGCTGACTAAACCATCCTATTGGAAAACTAATTAAGCCATTGTATTCTTCTGAAGCTACAACTTTAAACTACTCATTACATTGCTTAGGGAAAAAGCCTTCAATTGAGGGTAAATTGTTGCATGTCTGAAGTAATTATTAGGTCTTCTGAAATACTTTTTCCCTATACGGCAAAATTAGACGAAGTATTCCGTTTCTTTTACGCTTGCTGGTGACGATTTGCTTTAAATGTTACGACCTGTTTCCATTTGTTCTGCAGTTCAGTTTGCTATTGATTTTTCATTTGTTTTGATGCATACACGGATCACTGCTGGCGACACACGTATGCGGTGCTCTAGGGAGGCAGAACTTGTACTTTGAGCAACCCTCCCTGAATGGCAGCTTGGGACACATGTATGGGAGGGAGGTAGGATTCATTGGTGCAGAAAGAGGCGAAGTGCCATGCTCACACTGTCACAGGCTGGGTTAGGTCTAGATGGTAGTAAACAGGTTAGGGCAGATAAGGGAAAGATGCTGACAGTGGATCACAATGCACAATCAGTGCAGGAGGCAGAGGCAGGCAACCTGTCTGGCTTATCACAGACCTTGCAGGAGGGTTTAGGGTGCTGAGCCTGAAATGGCTATTTCTGTCCTATTTTCGTTGATTTGTAGAGCCTCAAATCCGGAGAAAGCCATCCACATGCTGTGCTCGGACTACCCTTGTCATCTACCTGCTGCTGCTGACAGTTGGCCAAGTGCTGTTGGCGTACAAAGGTATGTGTCCACCCTATGGAAGCCTGGGCAGTTTTGCTGGCTGCTCTGGGACAACACAAGTGTGGGTGATGAGCTCAGAGATGAGAAATCTCTGCAGGAGCACAGCTGCGCAGAAGGTAAAGTAGCTGCTGCAGGAAGCTCATCCCCCAACCCCTATGTTACGTCCATCTGGGCCCAAATATCTACACTCCTGGCTGACCAAGCAATTCCCAGCCAGATCGAGCTGTATATTCACTGCACAGACATTTTGTTTCTAGTGTTTAAGATGAAGGAGGAGATACTGAAATGTCAGGAAAATAATGCCTTCCATGCCGAAGAGATGATAGGAAGATCCTATGCTGACAACCTTCTTTTGGAGAAAAACTTCACAGAGAGGGGCATGGGACGTGAAGAAAACTGGAGGAGACGTTTAGAAAAGGAAATCACCGTAATTAAAAGCAGCAATGCAAACTTGATGATGATGATGAGCAACATCACCCTGCTTGCAGGTATGGTTCAGTTTCTTCTTGGTGACTGTATGGAGGGAAGAAATGTCTCTTCTGCACCACCTGCTTAGCCAGGGGAAATCTAGTTCTGAAGGACTAACTACAGCAAGATTTGGTCTCGCTGTCAGGTAGTTAGCAATGCTGCAGTGCATGGGGTCCTTACTAAAGAAAAATAACTACTAAATATTTATTTCAGGGCGTCCTGGATGCAAAGGAGAACCTGGTCCACCAGGTATGTGGGTAGATGAGGCATAAACAACTTTGCTTCTTTTCCTCTCTCTTCTACTTTTTTTCCCCTGAGAGATGTAAGATGAAGATTTGGGATTTCAGTTGCTAGATCCAGATCCTACAAAATGTACAAACCCCCAGTGCATTGTCACAAGGAAACCTGCTGCACATTTTGACTGATTTCCTAGATGCTCTGGCTTGCCTGAGTGCTCCCAATGGTTGTTGCTGACCATGGTTTTGTCTCCATCTTCTCAATGCCACCCTGACAGAAAGGCTCAAGGGTGACGGAGAAACCATGGCTGGTCATTATCTGCACTAGCCATCCCAGATCCCCATCTGAGGTAAGAAAGGACCATGGAGGGGATGAACATTTATAAAAGGTTTATGTGCATCCCACCAGTAGGTTTTCTGCCCCAGACATAGCAGGTCCTGCTGCACAACTCTAGAACAATTCACATGCAATTCCTGAGTCCCTGCTCTTTAGGGGCCCCATACCTGAACCGAACCATGCATGTAGTGAACACTGACTAATTTGGGATGGAACAGTACCAGCCATAGGAGATAAATGTCTCCAGTCTGTGAGGATGCAGCAAGATCTGATCTCATGTTGGCTCTGTGCTGAGAAGAAGTTGGACTCACCATTTTCCTAAGAAATTCAAGTTCCTGTGATCCTGTAATAACCTAAAATTCATCCCTTGTTAGGTCAGGTCTGTATCTCATCCATTCTTAGTTCTTGGCTATGTTGTTGAGCTTTTCCAAAGGAAAAAAAAGAAAAGATTTTTTTTTAAATAATTTTTCCATGTCTTCCTGGCTGCATTTACAATGCTGAAACACCACATCCTGCCAAACACTAATACTGTTAATCACAGCCCAATAGCTCAGTGCCTGTTCAAGAAAGATCACCCCAGATGTCTGTGTGAGCAGGCAGGTGGCCTGGCTTGGCTGGAGCACAGTTGGCTCTACCCAGCACACCCAGCCCAGCTCCATGGACCTTTCTTGGGTGCCTGCACTCACCTCTGTCAGCTGTACATCAGTGGTGACCAAAGGCACATGTACAAAAGACAATTTAAAAATTCATCTCTTCATTATTCATTATTACAAATAGATTATGTGTATCAGCTGATATATGTGTCTCACATCTCAGGGCTACGGGGACCACCGGGACCACTGGGGATAAAGGGAGACCGAGGAATTCCAGGTAAGTCTTTTCCAATCTCTGCGGATGAGCATAATGTGGCTTTATGGATTATTTTATGGGCGGTCTTGTCTTCGGTCGAGATGTAAGTCAGCAGGAATGTCATTGGAGTTGAACGAAATAAGCCTATGTAAAACCAATGTGAACAAAAGCAAAACTCTGCTGGAAAAATTCTAGTTTTAAAAGTGAGTTTTTAGAGCCATTGCACTGGCTATGGCAGGTAGATGTCCTCTGCCCTGGAACATCTCTCAGGCACACGAGGAGCAGAGTGCCTCATGTTGTGTGGCCTCCTGCTGATGTTCATGAGACATGATACCCAATGCGACATCATAGGTATGATGTTGTCCCTGCAGGCTTACAGGGCAGTAAAGGAGATCGTGGTCCCACTGGTCCAAGAGGTGAACAAGGAGAAAAAGGAATAAAAGGACAAGCAGGAATTCCAGGTAAGACGTCTCTGGAGGCATTTAAGGCCAGGCTGGATGCAATGCTGGGCAGCCTGATATTGAGATTCCAACCTCATGGCAGGGGTTGGAACTAGATGATCTTTAAGATTCCTTTCAACTTAAGCCATACTATGATTCTATGATTCTTCACTGTCTCAGCAATTTATTCCTGTTTGAATTGGTTATACTTGAAACATCAGATCAGATCTTCGCAGGTCCCATATTTCATAAAAATGTAGGCAACCCTGTGAGTGGCATGCCAGTCCATGAGAGGACTCTTGGCCTGATCTGCAGGAATTTCATTTTGGGGTTTGCTCCAGGGAAAGGAGACATGGAAAATGTTGATTCTACACCATGGAACTATCCTTATAAAGTTACTTTTGTCTAAGGAAATCCTGAATTAACAGCCTATTCCAGATTAGAACCATAGCATTTTCATTCATAATAATAATACAACATAATTTACGTGCAGAAGCACACGTTAGTTCTCACTGCAGTAAAGCCTACTTCTGAGAAATTTATCTCGTTATATATAAGCTTGGCTTTTAATCACCTTAAGTACAAGAGTCACGTACCATGTTTCTCCCCTGCAGCACATATCAGTGAATAAGCAACATTCAACACTCTTAGTTGGGATGCACCCGGAAAGGAGATGTTGAATGCAGCACAGCAAAATCAGAAGCTGTTCATGGTGCAGCTGAGGAAGGACATTTGGACGAGCTGGCTAGAGATTCCTTAGAAGTAAATCATCAGAACCCACACACACCAGAGCTAGTACAAGCTGGTCCAGATCAAAAAAAGGGAAGTAGGAGAAATAGCAGAAGACGAGGTCTTAAGGATAATTCTGGAGCAGAAGGGTGAAGGAGATATCACTCTTCAAATGAAACACTTTTAAGTAATTCAGCTCTATTTGAAAATGCAGAGAAGCTTAAGGGCAGTTTTGATAATTGCTTGAAAGCACAGGAGTAGCATAAAATGTCCTCCATTTCCACCACAGCTAGGGGAAAGAAACATTATAGTCAGCTGTAATGGAGATTTAACTAGGGAAGAAGACTACTAGTGGCAGAGATACTTTGGGAATAGCCTGGGGAGTTGCAGTGGGATCATTTACCAATGGTAAATGTGGGTGTGAGGCCTATCTCTGCTGCTGATGCAGATGCAAGGGGGTGCTCTCCAGTTTCTGAGACAGTGAATATTTGATGATGGTGATGATGATGATGATTTACACTTCCTGTGTTGCTTGGTAGGTCATGTAGGGCAGAAAGGTGAAATGGGCCAGAAGGGCGATCCAGGGAACCGCGGACCTGTGGGTCCTCCAGGAAACCAGGGAGTGCCAGGACAGCCAGGCTTCAATGGTAAGTGCAGAGGACACAAAACAACTTGCAGTCAATGCACACATGCTGTGGTGCAGGACTGCCCTAGCTGAAGCATTTGGCAAAATCCTGCCAGCACTGATGCTAGGCTGTTGTTACAGGTAGTGTGGGAGAGCCCGGACGTCCTGGGCAGAAAGGAGAAGCAGGTAAGCAGGAAGGGGGTGCAGCTTCCTCTATGGGTATGAGACTGATCTCTCTAAGACCTCTTTAAGACTGGTGTTGCCAGGGGAGACGTGTTATTTGGAAGGACACTGTTTGTGTTCTACCTCCATAGGAACAACCCAGTCTGCACAATATGGGGTTTGTGACAGAGCTATATTTAATTTTCTTTCTTCATGTTTTGGCTGCACTTCACATATGCTGTTGTTTATCACCTCCAAGGCCCAGCTGGAGAACGTGGCCTCCCAGGACCTCCTGGCCCCAGCAGTCCTGGGGTGAAGGGGGAGAAAGGGGACCTCGGGCCCAAGGGCTCTCAAGGTACCAAGCTACTGACGTCCACACCCTGTGGTCCTCCTGCACTGGCCTTGCTTTGTGTGATGGCTTCACCTTTGCTGATTTACTTTTAATTTCAGGAATGCCAGGCAGTATGGGACCCAAAGGTGAAAAGGGAGACAAAGGAGTTCCAGGTAAAGAAGAATAAAAAGGTCTGCAATCAAACGCATGCATTATGCAAGGTGGGAGGGGGGAATCAAAGCAACAAGGACATCAACTTGAGTACTGTTCTCTGGGCCCCATGAATCGCAGGACGTGATGGTGAGCACAGGCCGCTGTCGGGCTGCTGTGGGGTAGCTGCTTGTTGGTGGGTTTGTTTCAGGCATCTGCAACATGTACTAGGAAGTGATGTTGCCTGCATTTTTACGTGAATGGAAAATGCTCAAACAAAGCCATAGTTTAAGATGAACCAGAAAAAAAAAAACCAAAAAACCGAACAACAACTTCCATAACCATGCATTAAAAATGAATTTTACAGGCTGTAAATTTGATGGAAAGCTGACTAACAAGCACAATCTTGGACTCCTCTGTAGCACTGCAGGCAGAGGTCTCTTAAAAGGCCAGCTAAAGAGTGCTTAGCCAGACCTATTCTTTGACCTTCCACCTGAAGTAGTCAACCTTGCTACCCTGGGCGCCCAAAAACCCAGGGTAATGTTCTGGTGTATTTCCTTTTTCACTCTGAATTTATGTAGTGCACACTGTCAGGTCCAAGTGCTGCACCCTCCTGCATGCACTGACACCTGGATGCCAGGAGTCACCTGGCCCAATATTATGTGCTTGCATGTCTGCTGCACCTGAATTTATGTGCCTAAGCTCTCTATGAGGTCAGTGAAGGCTATCTGAAAGCAGAATCTTTGTGCTATCAGTGAAATTTAAGATGTGATACTAATGACCAGAAATCAATTTACTTCAGAAGATAACTTAGACCATCTTTATTTTCTGAATGGGTGAAGTCTGCCTTGAGTACAATGGGAAGTAAGACTCCTACTTGACTAATAGATGCCTGTAGTGCAGACAGTTAATGTGGACTGGGTGAAATCCATAATAAATACACATTTGCATAAATGTTTTTAAATTGTATAAGCATGTAACTTTTTTTTTGTATGATCCTAGGTACTGTAGGGCCAAAAGGAACAAAGGGAGACCAGGGCCCACAAGGTAAGCATTCATTTGACAGCATTAAATATTCTGATGATGATTAAGAGCAGTACTTTAAATGTCATGTTCCAATTCTCTACATCAATACGAGATGCTTATCATGCTCCTCCTTTTCCATTTGGGAAAGGACAATGACATTTCTGCTTTCCATGCAGGCATCCAAGGTCCAACTGGTCAAAAAGGAAGCAAGGGTGATTATGGCAGTAAAGGTCTAAAAGGTGAACCAGGTGTAAAAGGAGCCAAAGGAGACCAAGGAAACCCAGGTAAGGCTGTTTGTCATGTTGTGTCTGTGGAGCTCGTGGGCTTGGAAGCATATGTCACAGATACAGCACAGATTGGCACAAGCTACTCTGGAGCACGTTTACAGGAAGAACTCAACAGACAGATGGGTCTTTCCAGAGGGTGAACCTGTGGTCTTTTGCATTTACACCTTGGGTACCTTACTAAAGACATGCAAGTAAACAGATACGTTGGATTTTCTCAACTCCACCCTCTCCTCTGTAGTCTACAAAGACATCTTGCAATATATACTGTGCCAATGGGATTTACATGGCAGTTGGGAACACAAGGGCATTTAACAAAGCCTCCCTAATAGCAGAATAATTAAAAGCAAAAAAAAAAAAAAAAACAAAAACAAAAACAACAACAACAAAAAAAAACAAACAAAAAAAAAAAAAACAAAAAAAACCCACCAACAGTTCAAAAGGGCCAACACTACAAAAACTCAAAATCCTTATGCTCTTCCTTTACAATCACAGAATGCTTTCCAAAACCCTAAGACCTGTATTTAAAAAGATCACGCTAAACAATATAAGAGCCCTCAGACAAAAAGCAACCTGCAGCTTCTCTGGGGCTCCTGCGTGCATTCCTCTCCTGGAGCTCTGCCTCTGGAAGAGGGGTGGTGGAGGAGGAAAAAGTCTCTGGGTGATTCTCAGCTTTCATTTCCTGGAAGGAGGTTGCAATATGTGCTTTGTGAAAGTAGCTTTCTGGGTAAAGAGCTCATTGTATCTTTTCAAGCACATGCACTCTCAGGACAAGAGTTAACCTGCAGTGGCTAACAGTGTACCCATATGTGACCCACTCAATTACTCAATAAAAAGCAATAGCAGGATATTTCCCCAAGCAACAGTCAAAAAATTGCTCGTTTTTCAATTTGGAACAGATTTTCCAGAAATGAAAAGGGACATAGGAGAACAGCGAGGAGATACTGGACTTTTCTTTCTTCTTCTGCCACCTGACTCTGGTATCAAAGCTACCTGATATCAAGTACACACTGGTTAACCACCAACACAGCTACCAGAGCAATGAGAGCTGGGCTGAGCAATTTCACTGAGTTCAGTCTCTGGAGACAAGACAGGGCCCTGAAATATTCAGATCTGATATAAAAGTAACTTCTGGTCCTACTCCAGCTGCAGCAATGGAGCTGGGAGCATTCATGTAGTCTAGGCAGTCACTGCTTCCATCTTTCCGTGTGCTATTTGCCTCCTGCAAATATGACTAATGCAGTTATTTTTGTCTCCTCTGATCTATCAGGTTACTACAACAACATACGAATTGCAGGAGGGGGCAGGAGGGGTCGCGTGGAAATCTTTCACCAAGGCTCCTGGGGAACGATATGTGATGATGGCTGGGACATCCAGGATGCCTCTGTAGTCTGCAGAATGATGGGGTACAGCCGTGCCATCTCTGCCTTCACTGCAAATGGAGGTGAGTCTTCAGCAGGCTGGGTTGCAAGACTATCTGCCTGGTTGGGGGATAATGCATGCCCTGCAAGAACCACAGTGAGGGGCTCTACGTAAGCAATATGAGAGCAAAGAGGATGGATTCAAAGGGGAAGTTCAATCCTCTAGGGACTAGCCTACATGTCATGTGCTGCTTGAGCTGTGCCAAAAAGCTTGGTTTTGAGTTCACCGATGTGCAATCCAACACATGCATTTGGAGGAGAGCATACTACCATTTCTTCTGTCCAGTGGTGACTGTTTCTTCTGTTACTCGTTGCATTTATTTTTCTTATTTCTTTTCCCAAAGGCACTGGGCAAATTTGGCTTGATGACGTGAACTGCAGAGGGAGTGAACATTCTATTTACCAGTGTAACAAATCTGACTGGGGCACGCACAACTGCTCCCACAATGAGGACTCTGGGGTGGAGTGTATCTAATGGGACATAGGGCTGACCCAGGAACCTCTACCCCCTCGTGTGCTCTGCAGAACCCCTGTTCATTGCATCCATCCAGCTTCTTCACACAGGGGGAACTCCACTTTCCATAAATCAGCAACAATAGCAAGACACAAATAATGTGAGGCATCCCAGCTGTCAGAAATCAGCAGGAGCTCAGACGTGATCAACTGCATGGCTTTGCCACCTGCCTGGCAGTAGCCCACCTGCAGCAGCTGTAGAGTTTCTCTGCTTTAGCTCAGTGCAATAGGAGGGAACAAGAGAAGCCTGCAGAATGAGCTGCAGCTTAGCTGGCCAGCCTTTAACACAGTGCTGCTGTCAATCTGGCCTAAAGCCCATTGTAAAGACCATGTACTCAAGACAGAAATCATTAAATGATCTTTTTTGGTACGCAAACACAAAGTTCTTCAGATGAGATGATGATCACAGGTCAAAATGCAACCATACCAGCATGGAATCCAGTTTTAGCATAGATCTTGTGTTTGACCTTGGTGAAGTCTCCTGCCTTCTCTGACAATGTTTCCTAACTTGTTTCCCAGAAACAAAACCCTCACCTTGGAAATGAGATCCACTAAAACAAAGAGATAATGAGTGAAAGCAATAAGGATGAAGTATCAACTAATTATCCTTTCACAGTGAAACTATGGTCCCTAAACCAAAGGCTTCTGACTTAAATGAAAGTCTTATGTGTCTGAGATAATAAGTGAAAGACTTCTCTTTCTTAAAGCCTGAAGTCTTCCCCTTTTTAACAGCACTGGGCATTTGGCAGGTGACAAGGAGCCTGTACATAAACAGCTGTGCACGTTGCAGCAACCCGCTTGCTAACAATGTATTTAACATGTCAGAAATGGCTGTAAGCAACCCTACATCTCTGCATCAGCGTTAGCCACAACTGCACTTATCTACACAGCTTCTAGAATCAATTTTGGTGCTCACAAACCCAGATCTAAGTGGAAAAGCTGAGTGGTGCTGGTAAGAACAGCAGGTGAGGATATGTAAATAAAGTACTGTCACTGCTATGGAATAAAACATTTACAAGCTGTATTCTTTCTGTCTTGTCACAGCTGCAGGTGCTGCTTGAATTCCCATTTCCTCACTTTGCTTGCTAACGTAAGATGTTCCGCATTAGGCAAAACTGTCATAAAAAGGAAAGTCGCCATGTATCCAGTGGTGACCCTTAAATCCTCCAAAATCTCATTTCTGGACAGTAGGCAGCTGGGAAATAGCTGCTGTGCCACAATAAAGGTCAATCAGCAAGGGTTATATGTATACACTTCCAGGTGCCAGAAACAAAATTTCAAAGTCCACCTTTAGCAGATTCACACGTTCACACTAAATTCCCCCCTTTAAATTCAGATTTCAGACAGGCAGTTCTTCCTCTGGTATAAATTGTGATACTCACTGCTATGCTGTGTTTTGGCTGAGCAAGAAAAGCCCTTATTTGACTGAAAATAAATAAATAAATAAATGGATTTCACTCAGAACTCCAAGACAAAACTAGAACAAGAAGATGTAAGTTATCCAAACAGCAGGTAATATGTCAGATAAGCACTTTGCAGATCACCAAAAGCACAAGTGAGCTGTAGCAGAAATGCTAAGTCGTGGTTTGAGCCAGTAATTGAACACCTAGTGGAAAGGCAGGGCCAACCCAGGGGAACTCAGTGCATGCAATGTTCCTGTGTGACCAAAAGAGCTGGAGCCAGGATCCACCTCTTCCCAGACCTCATTTAAGTGTTGGCAGAGGGAGGTGCAGGTGTCTCTCTGAAGATCCTTGCCTACCTGAGGCTTTCTGAAGGTCAACAGCTTCTTTCCCTTATTTTTGCATCTACAGCTGTTGTGTTTAAGTGAATCCTCGCTTGCTGCAGCCTGGGATCTTTCTGTTCTGCTGTCATCACTGTGCTTTCCATCATGTTACACTGGCCGTACACCAGCGCCTAGACCACAGCCAGCCTGCTGTGACACCATACCCCATTACAGCTGACAGAGGTTTATTACTGATAAAGATGCTGCTTCCCGACACTAAGTGGAGCTCAAGGGCTACCACCCACCCTGCTTCCGCTATGCTGGCACTGCACAGCCTCCAGTTGTCCCAGACCTGGCCGTGCTATGCCCTGGTGAATGTGTTTCGAGTACCAGCATCCCTCCCTGCTTCTTTTTTCCTTACAGCAAGCCTTCACTCCCACATCCTGCATTCCAATGGGAACCAGAAGGGACACAAATGTGCTTGTTCCCTTTGACAGGCTATAATACACACACTTGGAACCCAAGTAGTCAGCCTAAAGTTGTGAGATAAGGTGAGGATTCCCAGTGACCCAAGTTGCGTCCAGCCAGTCCTCCCAGAATAATATTTTGAAAAATAAAAACTGAAAAAATGCCTCCTGTGATTCACTTTCTGGTGTGTTCTGGTCTGACCTGATTTGAAGTGCACTCATGTTCCCACATTTGCTCTTCCAGCCCAAGGGAAAGCTTATCAGGGTAGGAAAAGTGTTGCATGTCACCATGTGATTGATGCTTAGGAGTGAAAAACCCTCATATCCACAAAAACATATAGGCCTGAGGTCACCTTACATGGCCACATCCTCTTCCTCACCAACACATGGCTCAGTGCTTTCAGTCCCAACTTTCAGGACTCCCAAGGAACCAGCCTCATCTCATGGTGGTTGTCTACAACAGCCAGCAAAGAATTGTACAGCTGTGCTTATCGTTCCCTCCCAGCACCAATTAAAAAGATTTAGTTAAGCAAAATTCAATTACACTGTCATGCATAAAAGGGATACAATTAATTGAAAGGAATAGTTTCCCTTAGGATTGCTGTTATTTCCAGATGCCTGTCCCTGACCACTTCTTGTCCAAATAAGTAAAGATGCGGGACAGTTTGGATCATCCCTACGTCACCAACTCACACATATTTCCTACTGGCAAGAACAGGCAATGGTCAGAGACCATTAGGTAAACAAAATGATGTGCAGATCTCACAGCACTGGAGCTTTAGATCACAGAAGATCATGCTGAGAATATGTTTTAATAAGTCAGGAGTATTGATTTAGCCATATCTCAGTGTTGGCATAGCTGTCAAACCACAAAAACAGCAACATGCAGAGGAGGGCTGCAGGTTACCAGTGGGGTATGATGGGAGGCTGAATGCGATATTTATTGCCTCAACAGAAGTCACACGCAATTCAAAGTACCACCCAGGCACACAGGGATGCTGAAAAGCAAAACATTTCTAACTAAAAGTCAGTTCCTTTGGGTTTTATAGCCTCAGGTTTATGCTGAACACATCCATTACACATCTCACCCTAGCAAAATTATTAATAATTCCAGGTGAAACTGTAAAAAGGCAATTTCATTTGTTCACAGCTAAGATATCATTCTGTCTGAGGGTTGTTGTTCTTTTTAAAAGTACATTAAAGCCATCATATTAAATGTCAGGTGTAATAAAAGAATCCCTTCTCTTCTCATCTTAGAGAGGTAAGAAATTGAATATGCATGCTGGGCATATCTAAAGATCAAGCTCATCTTGTAATATGTGGGTCACTAATTGTATTTTCATCCCTCTCTTCCAAAGTCTTCTGTTGCTTGTGAATTAGAGTCAGAACTCATCAGCACAAATCTGTGGACATGTTCCTTAGCTTTTTCTGCTAAACGTAATGGTTCTCTTCCATTTTTTCCATTTTTCTCCATTTCTTCCAACCAGCCTGAGATGTAAGGCTCTGCTCCAAGGGAAGGGGCCAGGCTGGCTCCCACTGGCATTGGTGCAAAGTTGGATGGATACATGTCAGTGCAGGCAGCTGATATGCCATAACACCAAGTTGAATGTATACATCAAAGTGTTTAAACAAACTGCTAGTGGTAGTGCCAAATGATTATCCATTTATTTCAGTATTTGTTTTTTTCAAATGTGACCTAAAATCTATAAGTAATTAGTTATTGTACTGGCTACAGTGTCGCAAAATGCTTTGCTTCATTTTTTATTCAGGCTCAGAGCTGCAACTCCAGAATCATTCCAGTCACATCAGCCTTCAAAGGTCTAAATGGGAAGGAAGGGGGGCTAATGCCTTAATATCTTTGAGATTTGCAGGAATATTTGAGGATTTTCTGGGGATTCAGTGCAAGATGAAAAAAGAAGAGTTTTGCAGGCAAATAGAGGAACTTATGCCTCCAGTTCAAAATGAAAGACACATCCAAATGCAGAGATTTAAATGTTAAAGTGCTAAATAAACATTGCTATTCAACAGTGGTCTTTGTCTTTTGAGTCCTAGGTTAAAACTACTTCACAGGGTCTATAAAAGCTCCTTGCTAGTCTTTGTAGAAGCTAAATGAATTTTAGCAGTGCAAGTTCCAAAGTGAAAAAGAAATTCTACCTAAATCCCCCCCAAACAACTGAGGTGCCACACAGGGGAAAGGCAGGAGATGACTTTTGGGACTGTGAGGTAAGTATGACTTGTGAATAAGAAAGTAGTACACAAACTGCATGTATCCCAGGGCCACTTGGTGATATTTTATGTAAGTACAAATAAGGAAGTAGTGATGTGAAGGGGCTGGTTCCACTCCAACAGGGTATCAAAAATGCAACGGCAGCTCTGCAATGACCTTGTATCTTGCTGCCTTAGGAAATCCTGCTGGAGTCAAGGGATTCAGAGGGCTTTCAGGCTTGGGCCATAAATCACTCAAGAGATGAATTACTGCCTTATTAGAGCAGCTTCATAACTGTAATTCCAGATAAGTGCACAATTAGTCTGATCTCTTCTGATAACATGCCAACAGGAAAAAAAAAACGTCATCTCTTGCTAAGCTGAATGGCTATTCAAAGGCGCTGCAGCAAACTTTCACAGATGTTGAGGCCAGCGGGACCGTTATAATAATCTCATCTGACCTTCTGTGTGGTACATGGCAGAAAAACTCACTCAGGAGCTCCTGCATCATCCTGGAACTGCGGTTTGCTTATCAGGAAAGTGCCTTCTCTTAGTTTGAAGCTTTCTGAAGGCAGAAAGAAACCACCATGAGAAATCACTGTGTTCTAAGAAACCACCATGTTCTTGGCACATGAGTTATCCTACTAGTTCTCTCCTAGTAACTTCACTCTTAACCTGTGCTGGTGCGCTGGGAGTGAGCCGAGGTGCTTGAGTTGAGTGTTGAGTTGAAGCATGCAGGAAGGAATAGTGAGGAGAATAAGTGGACAAGGTGGATAGGTGGACAAGGTGAACACATGAAAAAGATGGTCACAAGGGCATGTGAGCCCTCCTCTCACCCACTGCCCAAGCAGATGGACAGGAGACCTTGCCGACTGCTCTAGCATTGAGTGGCTGGATGAAATAATGTGAAATGACTGCTGTCATTAAAATGTGCTCTGCATAGCGCAGTGCTGGTGACTTGTCTGTCAGCCTGATGTGGTCAGTCCTGTGCCCAGAGTGGTTTTAATGGGCAGGGAGAAAGTTGCTCTTTCTTCCTCACTGCATTTTTTTGGTGCTTGAATTCATTCAAACTAGATTCAAGACAAAGCAAAAGTTTTCCTTCATACAGTTAACTCCAGAAAGCCCACAGTCAGATTTTGGAAAACTACTGTACCTGGGAAAGGGGCACATCCAGACAGAGGTGCAATCACACTTGCTGGAGCTTAGGGAGAAGAGGAATGCTTGGTACATGCCAAGATCAGGCTGGAAGTGCCCTCTCTGGTTTTAATTCCATTTGGCATCCAAAAAGAAATTACTGGAAGGTTCTTGCCAGCTGAGGCTCACATGAGCACTGGGATTGCGCTGCTGTTCTGTTGGTGCATCCTTCTGGTTTTAAAAGAGGTACTCTGAATTCATGGAGTGGAGCTTTGTGGGCATGGAAGACCTTCAACACACTTCTGAGGCACTCTAGTCATTTTCTAAGTGGAGATAGGATCAAACTAAACGTCAGTGGCACTTTTGGATGAGTAACAGCTAATTCAGATTACCCATGGCCCTGAGATGAGGATCCCAGGGCTAAATAACAGGGGCATATTTCCCAGATGTGGGTAAAGACTGTTGACTTAACTTGCAAGACTATAAAATTTCTTC